TTCAGTTATATCTAGTTCAGTTAAAAAATACAGCAGAACAGCTCACATTTCCATCACCGTGGTATAGTAGTTGTGAGTAAAGTACGAACTGCTCCTAGCTGCTCAGCCACAGAACACTGCATACATCACGGATGAACATCACGCTCAGTGACCAGTGATGTCACTTCTTGCAGAGTCTGCTGGTGACGGGTCACTGCACATCTCAGTTCGTGCACAGACAGCTAAGCATGTAGCTGTGTTGCCTCCCTGTCTCCAGTGATAAACCCACACGACAGTTTACAAAAATCAATCATTGAAAAGGAACTGGCCAACGAGGGTGGAAGTGCAGTGAAGAAGTAATTACTGATCATGCTAGAAGTGAGATTCAGATAGAACCTCTGCAGAGGTACAGGAGAAATGAGCTGGTAACCAGAGTAAAGGAGAGCAGTGTGATGAAAAAGATGTCCCCGGGGAAGTCCTTCAATGCTTCACTTTGAAGGAACTCTCAGAGATGGTATTTCATGACATTGAAAACACGAAGGACAAAATGTTGGAAGTTGAATCAGATTTAGAAAGGTGTCTGACAGTTTGCCAGTACACAGATGATACCCACTGCACATCATATGTTATAAGTTCTATGTTAGTAGGAAGGCAAGCACTGTTCAGGTGACTCTTGGTAAGTTTTTTTTATAAGGAAATAAAACGCTTTCTTAAGGTTTTCAATTTCAGTGTAAATAAATACTAGTAAATGTTTTTTGTTCTTTTCATTAGTATTAAGAGATTAATAACATTAAAAGATTTATTTTAAGAAATGGACTCACATGATTTGGGGGCTAGCAAGTCTGAAATAGGTAGGTCAGGCTGAACTCAGGCAAGAGTTGATGCTACAGTCCCAAGGCAGAACTCTGTCTTCTGGAAATCTCAGATTTTGCTCTTAAGGCCATCAACTAATAGGAAGAGCCTTCCCCCCCCCTTATTATTGAGGGCAGTACCCTTTACTTTAAAACCAGCTGCAACAAAATACCTTCACAGGAACACCCACACCCACTCAATTAAATAACTGGGTACTCTACCCTAGCCAAGGTGACACCATCACAGTAGTTTTAGCTACACTTTGTCCAAAATGTAACACCAGACTGAAATGCCATGGTGTGACTTGGCAGATGAAGCCTAGTTATGATGCTGGTTAATAGCAGGTGGAGTGGCTGTAATCATTTTCATCATTAAAACCAGTTGGTCTGATGACCCAGTGTCTGCCTTTGTAACTTCTTGAAACTTTTTTCTTTAGCAGCTGTGTTTTATATTTATTACAAAATTAGACATCTTTATCAGTATCCCAAACTCAGCAGGCCATGTGTCCAAGGTTGGTTTATGCCTAGAGTGATAGTATGAACAGGGTGGCTCTAAAGCAGGAAAGTGATAATCTTGTCTAGCTTTGACATCACAGTGAAGGCTTGGGAAAGGGGAGAAAGTAGGAGACCCAGCAGGCCAGCTAATGGGGTAGACCCTCTGCCAGGATGCTCTTCCAGGGGTATTTAATACGTCATTTCTGTAGTCCCAGGAGTTGCTGCTCAACTGTCTCATCCTGCTGTTTAAATGAATTAAATCATCAAGCAGTGCTTAGCATAGTAGCTTAGCATAAGGACACATGGAAACTTTTGATTTTTTTTTTTTTTTAATGTTGATTTATTTGAGGGCGCCTGGGTGGCTCAGATGGTTAAGTGTCTGCCTTCGGCTCAGGTCATGGTCCCGGGGTCCTGGGATCGAGTCCCTCATCGGGCTCCCTGCTCCTTGGGAGCCTGCTTCTCCCTCTGCTTCTCTCTCTCTCTCTCTCTCTCCCTCTGTCTCTCATGAATAAATAAATAAAATCTTTAAAAAAAAATGTTGATTTATTTGAGAGAGTGTGCAGGAGCAGGGGGAGGGGTGGAGGGAGAGAGTGAATCTCAAGCAGACTCCCTGCTGAGTGTGGAGCCTGGCGCGGGGCTCAATCTTAGGACCCCGAGATCATGACCTGAGCCGAAATCAAGAGTCAGACCTAGGCGCTTCTTGTTCACTGTTTTTAAGAATTAAAAAACAAGGTATCTTTAAAATTCCCTCAAACTACTCTTTGGTATTAGTAAGTACAGAATGGTTTCCCTACACATACACACACACGGAATAATTCTTAATTTGCACAACAATTTAAAGATTATCCTTTTTAGGGGCGCCTGGGTGGCTCAGTCGTTAAGCGTCTGCCTTCGGCTCAGGTCATGATCCCAGGGTCCTGGGATCGAGTCCCGCATCAGGCTCTCTGCTCCGCAGGGAGCCTGCTTCTCCCTCTCCCACTCCCCCTGCTTGTGTTCCTACTCTCGCTCTCTCTCTGTCAAATAAAATCTTAAAAAAAAAAAAAAGATTATCCTTTTCATCTGTAAATAAAATTATCAGACAACCTACTTGAGAATGACTTCATAAGTTTTACATAGTCGTTTCATGACAGACTAATTTATCCATTTAATAAAACAGGTGTGGGGCACCTGGGTGGCACAGTCTGTGAAGCATCCAGCTTTTGCTTTCAGCTCAGGTCATGATCTCATAGTTGTGGGATAGAGCCCTGCATCAGGCTCCACACTCAGCATGGAGTCTGCATGGGATTCTCTGCCCCCTCCTGCTTGTGCACTCTCTCTCTCTCTCTCTCTCCCCCTCCCGCCCCCTCTCTCTAAAATAGATAAATCTGTAAAATAAGCATGTAAGAGTGCCCACAAGTAGAAAAGACTAGTACTTTATGTGCTTTAGGTTAGAGGCCCTGAAAGATTAACAGATTAGTTTTAATAATTGGTTTGAATTGTGGGCTTAGGGGTTAGGACTCAGGTTCTGGAGCCACCTCACATCTGAGCTGAATCCTGCCTCTCTGCTGCTTCTGAACCTCGGGCTGGCTGCGTACCCTAACGGAACCTGCCTCAGTGTAAGGACGTGCATGTGAAAGGCGTGGAAGTGCGTGGTGTAGGTGGATGCTAGCTGTTACTGTTGCTATTACTTAAAACACACTGAGCTTTCTTGGAGTCAGGATTTGTAGTGGCCCTACTGCTTCTAAGATTAAGGAAAAGTCTGTTTACTTATATTTTAATTAAAACAATTTCACTTTCATCTGCTTTTTGTTTCTTCTTTCTTTTAGTGCATCTTCCCTACTTCTCTCCCTTTACCTCAGAACAAAGCTGCATGCCCAGCCCTCCTGCGCATTTCGTTCTTTCCTTGAAGTTTCTGGCACCAACTGTTTTTTGACCCTTCTCCAGCTTTGCAGATTCCCTTTTCCAAACTTTAATTGAATTAAAATCACCTTATATGTCGCATTTCTCATGTGCCCTCTTGCTCTGATTGATATGTTCCCTGTGAAGGGAAGCTTTGTACTGTGCAGGGTCTCATGTGTCTGCAGTTACTTGGCTCTTTGTTAAGGGAAAATCATTTAATCCTTGATCTGTTACTTTCTTGACACAAGGACAGGCTGAATGGAAATCCACTGTGGCTTAGAAATTACATTACAGGGTTTGATTCCTGGGCAGGGATTAATAGTTTATTTCAGAAGAACTAAACAGCTTTCCTTCTCACCCTGCCGTCAAGTCTCCCTTGTACCTCCCCCTACTTCAGTTTGCCTGACTCCAGGCGGTGGGCTCTAGGTTTACTGGTGGCTGATAGGAGATCGGAATCCTGTTCCTGTTCCCCCTCTTCCCTGCTGTGTGACTTTGGTTTCCTCTTAAAAGTTCAGTTCACCAGACCTTTTGAAAGCCCTTACTTACCAGGCACCAAGGGTCCAGAGATGTGAAGAAACCATCCCTCTGACCTTAATCTCCATTTCGAATCGGATAGAGAAGATGGACAAATAACAAGTGTTGAAATCGCAGTAGAAGAGAGAGCTATGTAGTGGGCAGGAGTTTGTTTCGTAGCCCACAAAAACTAGTGTGAGGAATTCTGTTCGTGTAGCTAAGAGAAGAGAGAGAGGAGGAAGTGCTCACCCCGGAGTTGGGAAGAAGGACTAGTAGTGTACCTAGTCTACGTGTGGGAGGTGTACGCAGGCACAGCAAAGGCCCGCTGGCCAAAAGGAAGAGTGTGCTCGGAAAGCTAAGTTCTACATGTAGCCAAAGCATAGGATGTGTGTTAGGTGCCGGATCTTGGAAGGTACTGTTGGTGTGCAATGCTGAGCAATTTCAGATACACGGCAGTAGAAAATGTAATGGACACCCATGTACTTAGCACCCAGTTTCATTATTTATCAACATTTTCCTACTCGTCTCCTCTGTCTCAGTTTTCCCCACCCATTTTTTTAATAAAAGCAAAGTTCAGAAACTCATTATTTTACCCGTAAGTACCCGCTGAAAAATTTAAACTGCGCAGTGGAGACCATGGCATGGTTTTAAAGAATTTTTATTATTATTTTAGGAAAGTGTGAGTGAGGGGGAGGAGCAGAAGGGAGGAAGAGGAAGAAAATCTGAAGTAGACCCTGCTCAGAGCGTAGAGCCTGATGCGGGGCTCAATCTCACGATCCCAAAATCATGATACAGGCTGCAACCAAGGGTCTGACGCTTAACTGACTGAGCCACCCAGGCGCCCACATCATTAGTGTTTGATGTAGTGTTCAGTGATTCAGTAGTTGCATAGAACACCCAGTGCTCATCACAACATGTGCCCTCCTTAATACCCATCACCCCCAACCCCCTCCCCTCGAAACCGTCAGATTACTTCCCGGAGTCCACAGTCTCTCATGGTTCATCTCTCCCTCTGATTTCTCCCCCTTCAGTTTTCCCTCCCTTCCCCTGTGGTCCTCTGCACTATTCCTTATGTTCCACATCTGAGTGAAACCATATGAGAATTGTCTTTCTCTGCTTGACTTATTTCATTAGAATGTTTTTAAATGACAGTTTGTATTTAATGCTTCAAATTATTCTCTTTGGGGGCCAGTAAAAGAAATTGGAGCATTTAGAACGGAAAAATTACAAGTGATTGGGGGACCACGATGTAAATTTGAACTTTGTTGTTGCTTTCCTCTGCAGGGCCTGCTGTCTTTTCTGAGTGCCCCCCTCATAGGCGCTCTGTCTGATGTGTGGGGGAGGAAACCCTTTCTCCTTGGCACTGTGTTCTTCACCTGCTTCCCAATTCCACTGATGAGGATCAGCCCTTGGTGAGTGGCTTGGCCCTATACCATCATGACTGCCTATTTTGGGTCACATGTGAATAATACATCTGCAGAGCATATCTTAACCATTTCAAAGCGGTCGATAGCTGTATGTTTATTTGATCTCTTTTGGTAGTACTGAAAGCTAGTTTGGGTTCTAAGATGTTTAAAGATGTCTCTAAGGGCAGCTGTAGTTGCCATCAGGTCAGTTAAATGATTGGGTCCTGGGAGGGGGTGACGGTCCCTGTGTTCACCCCTGTGGCTCAGTTGTCTACAGGTGTGTTGTCATCTCACTGCTCTAGGGTACCGGATGAAGAGTTTACATCAATAGAGCCTAAGAGCCTGTTCTGTCTAAATCATAATATGAATTTGAATTTGATCTTATTTTTTCATGATAAATAGGGAGAGAATATTTAACATATAACCAAGTACCAAAGATGGTTTGGAATTTGCACCTGATCTGTACCTTAGTTGTTTTTCTTGGTTCCAGAAGATGGTATGTGGCCAAAATTTCTGTTGCTGAGATGCTCATCCTAAGGTGTGAAGAACACACCTTAAAATGGAAGGTTTTTTTGTGTGTCTGTGTATGTTTTAATACATTAATATTTCTTTTTTGGCTCATGTGAAAATATCATCATTTGATTATCTGATAATTTTGTGTCAATATTTGTTACATTGTAAATATGTTGGTTACCCATAGTGGATCATTTTATTTTCTACCAGATGTTTTATCAAATACTTTTTGGTATTCAGTCTTTCCAAGAACAAGTCATGCTTTTCAAATAAATGAGGGCTTTTTTTTTTAATGTCCTCTCAATATCTTAAAATAGTTTTCCTTCAGATTTTGAAATGATTTTGCCTCTTCCCTTCCAGTTTTCATGCTGTTGCTTTTGCTTATATTGATTAATGAATAATGCTAAGTAAAAGTGATAATGGACCTAACATCTCATGTATATAAAGGGAATGTTGTGATTTTTCATCATTCGAGTGTTAAGGTAGCTTTTGCATTGAAAAATACTATGTTACAAGGGGTACCTGGGTGGCTCAGTCGTTAAGCGTCTGCCTTCGGCTCAGGTCATGATCCCAGGGTCCTGGGATCGAGTCCCACATCAGGCTCCCTGCTCTGCGGGAAGGCTCCTTCTCCCTTCTCCCACTCCCCCTGCTTGTGTTCCCTCTCTCGCTGTCTCTCTCTGTGTCAAATAAATAAATAAATAAAATCTTAAGAAAAATGTTACTATGAAGAATTATATTAATAGATTTTCTAATAGTGAAATATCATTATGTCCTAGGATAAACCCTACTTTTTGTTCTGTGGAATTTTGTTTGGTAGTATCTTAACTAGATTTTTTTTTAAAGCACCTGTGCATATGATTGAAGTTTTAGTTTTAAATACAATAATAGTTTTTGTTGTGATTTCTGCTTTTGTGTAGCTCTTTATTTTTAAGATTTTACATACTTGAGAGTGAGCGTGAGCACGTATGCACGCAAGGGCCGGGGGAAGGGCAGAGGGAGAGGAGAGTTAGACTCCCCTGAGCAGGGGGCGCCACGTGGGGCTCAGGCCCGGGACCCTGGGATCACGATCTGAGCCGAAGGCAGACGCTTAACCAGCTGAGCCGCCCAGGCGCCCCTGTACTTCTTTGAAAGTTATTTGCTATATGTATCTTTTTCTTAGCTAAAGCTAGGAAATTTTAAGTTTTTCTCTTCTGTTGGCTGCCTTTAAAACTATATCTTTACTTAATCCCCTTATTCTTCCATTTTTTTCAACTGCATGTACTGACACCCTTTAAGCAATTACAGACTTGGTTTCTTCTTCCCCATCTTGACTGTCATTTTATTAGTTGTCCATTCTATCTTTAAATATACATATACATGTATTTGTTTTTAAATTTATTTCTTGGTTTATAATTTTTACATGATAATCTTTGACTCTGGTTATAAAAGTGTATGCACACTACCTCTCCCCCGGGTAATTAAAATAATCATTTTATAGGTGGTACTTTGCGATGATTTCTGTGTCTGGAGTCTTCTCGGTCACGTTCTCTGTGATATTTGCCTATGTAGCTGATGTCACTCAAGAACACGAGCGAAGTACTGCTTATGGATGGGTAAGATTATGTTTTTTAACCAGAGAAGTAATTAGGGTTCTATTTAAAAATGTACTGGAAAGTAAGATTTAAAATAAATTATAAATAATGACCTTACATAAGAGAAAATCTAAAGCAATTGAAATCAGAAAAGGAGATTTATGAAGTTTAAAATAGTAAGATGGAAATTACTAGTAATGTATCCTCTGGTTGTAGGGTGAGTTGTCAGCTGCAAAACTGTTTCAAAAGTTGATTTGATTTGTTTCATATTAGCTTATCTCTTGAGGAACCATAAACAGTAAACAGGTGCTGAGCACAGAAGTCCCTGTGCACCTCATTCATAGTGGAGAGGTGCTGCCCCTCAGCCCTGTTAATCCACTGTTACTGTATTGCTGGTTGTGTATCTCAGGCACTTATTTGGGACATGGTACTGTAGAAGAAGGACTACATTCATTTGGCAATTAATTTTTGAGTGCATAACAAAAGTTATAGGAGACCTTGTTTTGGATCATCGAGTATTAGAAAATCATTTCTAATTTTCTGAGGTGTAACTATGGCTTTGTGGTTCTGTTGGGGAACAAAGACTTGTACAGGATGGCAGGCTGAAGCCCTTGAGGTCAGTGTGTCATGACTATAAGTTGTTTTGGGGGGCGGGGCGATGCCATGTGAGCAGTCTGTGGGTATGTGTCCAATGCGTGAACTTGCTGAGTCACGTGGGTGTTGTTGAGGGGGGAAATTTTCCCTTCTTCCCTTCTAGGTTCTTTGGCTACCCTAATAATAATTAAATTGACATAAGACAGATTAACAGGAGGGAAACATTTAATTTTGTACAGAGCTCCACAAAGACCTGAGAGACCCAAACGCATTTGGACAGCTGAAGCTTATATGCCATCCAGAAAAAGGGGGTAGGGGTCTGGGACTTCAGAGGGGAGGAAAGCCACTCACAGGAAGATGAGAAGAGCAAATGTTTGGCAAATAAATGTTTGCCATGCCATGCAAATAAATCTTTCTGATAGAAAAAGTTATCTTTGGTGATAGCTCCCTTCCTGATACAGGCCCCCATCTAAATTCTTTTAGGCTCTGAAAGAGAGGCAAAAATCTTTCCCCAAGTGCACTGGGCCTTAATTGCCTTCAACCGAATCAGTCTATGTGCAAAGGGCTATAGTTGGGGTGCTGCATTCTCCCCTCAGCACGCACTGTGCTCGTCTTCTTTCAACTTCCTGTGTTGGAAAATGTTTACAGTGAGGAAAGGTGGAAGAAGACGACTCTGGCTGGGTTGTTGAACAGGTTGGAGGAGGACCAAAGGCCAGAAACCCAGGTTACTTATCTCCTTTCCCAAGCCTTTCTCTTCCCTCTAAATCTTACTTCCTGGAAGATAGGAAGGAGTCATAACTGCACAAAGATCAGTTGTTGCTGTTCCATAAAACACATCAGCAGCTTTCACTTTGTTGACTTTAGACATTAGTTTAAAAACAACTTCTTCAACATTACTTGCCCTCTACCTCCTGCCCGCTTCCCCCCCCGTTCATCTTCCCTCCCACCCTGAACGCCCCCCACAGCACACCCGAAGACCGTCTGCACCTGCCATCCCCAAGGTGCCGTGGAACAGGACAGAGGGAGGGGCTCTAGGGAGCCTTCGAAGGAGGCAGGGGCGTGCAGGGTGGCTCCTAATAGTCAGCCGGAAGCCTCACGTACCACATTTGTGCAGCTTTTCTGTACGTGATGGGAAATACCCATTGAGATATTAATTCCCCTCCAGTTTTAAAAAAATTTTTTGTTCTTTGCTTTCGGCCAAAACAAAACAAAACAAACAAAAAAACACCACTCACAAAGCTGTTGTGCCGAGTATTCACGCTTTGAGGACAGATTTCCGAGAAAGAGCAGACCTCGCCACCCTCTGCTAGCACACCTCAGCTGTAAAATGGCAGTCACGCTTCCGGCGTCATCGGGCTGCCGAGGGGAGCGAGGGAGAGAGCTGGCTGTGCTGGCGGCCGGCAGGTAAGGTGCCAGGACTTGGTCACAAGAGTCAGGGTGTTGGCCAGTGGCCTTTACGTGTGCCCTGACGTGTCAGATGTGAAGATGACAGAACTAAAAAAAAAAGGAAAGGAAGAAAGCTTTCAGGCTGCGTATCTTAGAGATAGAGGAGGATTTACTGCCAGTTATTTACAAGATTGTCCATCAAGTCTAGCTCGGGTTTTAGAGCCGTCAGAGAATGTACAAAGTATGTACACCTTCCTCCACTGCGCCAAGAGGTGGCAGCTCTTTTAGGGCTGCAGCAAGGAGTAGTCCTATTAACTGAGTTAATGCTCACTGAGAGATTGTTGTGGTGAAGTCACCCTTTAGATTTATTTACCAGAGCCGTGCTGCGCGTGAGGTGAATTAGGGATTTAGATAAATATGCAAACTAAGCAACAGCGCTGCTCTGAGTAAGTTCATGGGGTCATAGATCCCAGAAACTCAAGTCATCCAGCAAGTATTGAGCCGCGGCTGTTGGGGAGGAACAGAACTGATCGGATGGAACAATTTAGGGAACTGCGGCTGTTCTCCACCCTTTCTGATACTTGAAACTTGGCACCTAGCTTTTTACTTTTATTTCCACATTCCACGTGATTAAATTGGCTCTCAGAATATTCACTATTATTACATAGAGATTTTCACACTAAATTCTTACTGTTTCTCACTATGAAATACATCTCTACATTTATTTTTCACATACTTGAAGAAACTGATCTCTCAAGTGCTATACCTGGTTCGGTCTCCCAATTAGGGAGGAAAAAATACAGGTGCACGGCAGCAGAGGGGTTGATGGGAGGAGGGAGTCCTGAGCGCTGAGGGACCTAACAAATCAGGGGTGCGTTAGGACTGGTAGGCCTGCCCCTGTGTCAGAGAACATCTGCCCTGCTGTCTGAGTCATTTATGGGGCTTTCAGCTCTTCAGATACATAGACTCTTGAAGTCCTAAACTCATGTCTTTTTTTTTTTTTTTAAGATTTATTTTAGAGAGAGAGAGGACGAGAGGGGGAGAGGGAGAGAGAGAGAAGCAGACTCCCCGCTGAGCAAGGAGCCCCACGCAGGGCTCGATATCACGACCCTGAGATCATGACCTGAGCTGAAATCAAGAGTCAGACACTTAACCGACTGAGCCATCCAGGTGCCCCCTAAACTCATTTCTTAACCTCTGTTTTGAAAGCTTAAAAGAAAGATTCTCATTAAGATTTCTGCCTATGCCAATTTCAGGTTTTCTCTGTAGCAGTTTACAAATAAATTATGGAAATACTAGAAAAGAGAGCACTTCTTTCTCAGAGCAGTGTTGCAGGATGCATCACATGGACGGGAAAGATGAATTAAAAAGTTTACCATGGTTTGGAGTGCATGCGTTACTTATTAATGAGCATTAATCTCATTACATCCGAAGTAGCTACTGTATCCCTTCCAAAATTTTCTGAGGGGGAGCTTAGTAGAATGCAGTCATTTTCCATTCAAAACTCATGGATCAAATGTATTCTTATATATTAAATCATTTTTCTGGAATAATTCCATCATTTGTAATGACTGAATCTTGAGTTACTGAAAAATTTTTGTTTCATAAAATGTCCATTTGGCTAGAAGACAATTACGATGGTAGATTTAGAAATGCCATTTTGACAAATAATGAAATAAGTTATTTAAACTCAAGTGATTATTAGATCCTTTAGACTTGGAATGCTGTGGGATTATAAAAACCAGTTTCAGCTGAAATTAAGCAGCTGTAAGTCTAACTGTACATTTTGGTGGGAAAGATTATTTTCGAGATTAGAAAATGGCTTCTCATTCCTGCTCATCATATGAACTTGAGTTATTTAACTTTTCTGTTGCTGTTTATTTGTACATTGAGTAGTAATCTTGTTTACAATACAGAAATGTGAAGATTAAGGAAATGAAAAACTTATGAATAAATGACTTATTGACCCATTTTGTGCAGAAATGAGGTGGTTAGGTGCTGGACGACCCCGTGGCAGTGCTCCCATAGCTGCCTGCATGTCACTGCAATTTATAATGTGACTTATGGGACTGCCTTGATCTTTTCAAATATGGAAAAACCTGAAGGGCAGGAGCTCTGTCTTCTTATTCATCAGGTGCAGAGTGGGTACTAAGTAAAGACTGAACCAAGACATTCCTGTTCCCCAAGTTGGAATTCTCTACACCTTCTTTTCTCCCCCAGACAGTTTTTATTGGACTTTTGGCTTCTATAGTATTTTTAGTATAATACTAATATCAGACATATTGTATTTTCACATTCTTTTGCGGGTGCTGGGTGAAGGAAGAATGTCATTGGCTAACCAGGTGTTGTCATAATTTTAACCGTAGGTAATGATTTCAGTGGTTTCTTTTAAAACCCATTAGAAGTTTAGATAACCAGTTTATTAAGTCTATTTTTGGCATTCAATCTGGTTATAATTTGGAGACTGTCCATTTAAGCTTCTGAACATTCAGATACATTCCAAGATAAAGGAGGCGCTCTACATTAGGAAAACCATGTGAAGAGGCTCCACATAGATTCAGGTGCAAATGTGATCAGTTGGTTCTATGGTCTCTGGTATAGAACGGAGGTTGGGAGTGATGGAAACTAACAGCCCAGGGATCTCAAGGTGAGAAGCTTCAACTATCTCTCAGCACGTCTTTGTTGTTTTTCTTTTGTTGTTGAGCTTTTTCTCTAAGAATATCAGGGATTTTTTTTTCCCCTTCTCTGTGCTAATGCAGTGGTCACCAATAATAAAATAGTAAAACAGTGCATGTTTTTAGGCTATGAAATCAACAGTCCCTGAGTAATTTGGAAGTTTTACAACACTGGCCCTGCAGACATTGTTTTTTCATGCCCTTTCTCCCCACGTCCTTGTTTTCCAATTAAAGTCGACTAAAGTGTGTATGTTTTATTCATGGGGAAGTTTTTCTCAATTTTTATTTCTAATAGGATCATTTTGTACTCTTGTAGCTTTTCAGGAATCTCCGTTTAGTTCATAGTTTGGGAACAAGTCCTTAAAAGGAAATGACTTTCTCTTTCATTCTTAAAATGTATGTGCAACACGTTCCTTTTGTTTTGTTTAAAGCCAAGGAGGGATGGCTGTAGGTACATATCTGTGGGACCCTGTGTAAGAAGCAGGAACATAGGTGTGCACCTGTAGCAGGTGGGGCTGAGTGAGTGTGCGCTTTCTGCATGTGCATGTGGTAAAGGGTGGGACCCTGGGTGAGAGAGTGCTTTTCCACAGGTCTCAGCCACCTTTGCAGCCAGTCTGGTCAGCAGCCCAGCCATTGGAGCATACCTTTCAGCCAGTTACGGAGACCGCCTCGTTGTGCTGGTGGCCACAGTGGTGGCTCTTCTGGACATCTGCTTCATCTTACTGGCTGTTCCAGAATCTCTGCCAGAGAAAATGAGACCACTTTCCTGGGGAGCTAAGATTTCTTGGAAACAAGCAGACCCTTTTGCGGTAAATATCCATTTCTTTCTCCAGTAAAAATAAAAACAAAAATTTAATTGCACATAAGGCCTGAAGGTGTCTGTGCACCAAGGAATGTATAGAATTTATATTTCTTTCCTTTTTAAATTTTTTTTATTAGGAAGAGAGGGATGGGCAGAGGGAAAGTGAGAGACTCTTACGTGTTCCATGCCCAGCGTGGAGCTCAACTCGGGGCTCAATCTCATGAGTCAGACACTTAACCGACTGAGCCACCCAGGCACCCCTAGAATTTATTTTTAAGTCAGGTGGGTGATAGGTATCCTAAGGAAAGAGAGAAAAAAGGTCCTTAATCCCTGATGAGGGTTTAGGAAGGAAGTGGTTTTTTTCTTATTGCATGGTGGTTTTCATTTTTTTTTTTTTTTGGTAAACAAAATGAAGGTGGCTGTTTGAAGTGTTCATTTTCATTCAGTTAAATTCAGAAAAGATGAATAGATTTGGTCTGACTAGTTATTTTCTAGGTTGTTAATATACATCCACTTTGACCAGAGGCTTTGAACTTGTATTTTGCAGGTTGAATGGATTCTTTGTTTCCTGTAACTTTTTAAAATTTGGGGCATTTTTTTTTTAAAGAATTTTATTTATTTTTCAGCAGAGAGAGAGACAGCGAGAGAGGGAACACAAGCAGGGGGAGTAGAAGAGGGAGAAGCAGGCTTCCCGCGGAGCAGGGAGCCGATGCAGGACTCGATCCCAGGACCCTGGGATCATGACCCGAGCTGAAGGCAGACGCTTAATGACTGAGCCACCCAGGCGCCCAAATTTTTGGCATTTTTAATTTTTTTTTGGAAGGAGTCTATTAACAAAAAGTACTGAGAAGAAGAATCTTATCCCTCCCCTTTTCCCACTTTATCTGACTTGAAATTGTTCTTGAAGAAAATATGTGCAGAAAAAATTACCAGAGATTTGATTGCTGTTTTTAAACACCTTTTAGGAAAAATGTGTAAAAGAAAAATAACTCATCAATTTTTTTTCCAGAAAGATCCCTCAGGTCATGACCTGGGGACCCTGCTCGTTTTGTTTGTGCCATGATGTCAGACATTGAGAAGGAGGTGCTTAGAGAAGGAACCCAGGCGTGGACCCAGGGGCCCGTCAGGTCTCCCACTTTCTTGTCATGTAGTGATCAAGTTATGCATGGAAACTCCGACTGCTGCCGTGTACTCTTCCAGGCCTACCGCAGGCAGCCAGTCCCCATAGATGTGAGATGCTTTTGCTGTTCACACATGAGGGTTACAATTACGGTGACCCTAGGATGCACTGAAGCACTCCCCAGTCCTTAGAAAACAACACACCTTTTGGTCTTCTCAGAAATTCTGTGTAAAAAGAGATGTAAGAAGGACTTTTAGGCAAAGTTGTAACATTCAAAAGTTACTGGTTAGAGAATCTTGTCACTGACCCCATGACTGGAGTGTACTTATTTGTCTACCAGTTTTACAGGCAAATTGAATATTATTAACATTTTAAAGAATATAGTAAATTTATATTGTAAAAACCCTGAACTCTTTATGGATTTAAAAGGGTTGTATTATGAATGAAAGAGAGATGAGATTTTCTTAAAAGGTTCTGGAACAATGTTTTTTCAGGGTCTGTTCATAGGATGTGAACCAGTATGGTTAACAAAGATGAGCAAGTATTTGTGGGGGAAACTTGTTTTGGTTTTAAGCTGTAATACTTTAAACATAGAGGACTTGTAACCACAGCGTTAACGTTTACCTGCTTTTGTAGTCCCTTCAACTTTTATAATTCACCCTAACAGAACAAAACAACGAAGCCAATATCCTGGAATATTAGTGACTTCAGTGTCGCCTGCTTTTTACATGTTTCTCTTTCTGCTTATTCCTAGTCACTGAAGAAAGTTGGAAAAGATTCTACCGTCTTATTAATTTGCATCACTGTGTTTCTTTCATACCTTCCTGAAGCTGGACAGTATTCAAGTTTTTTTCTCTATCTCAGACAGGTGGGTAATGTGTGCCTAGTAGGTTTAGAACATGAAGAAAACCAAAGGTTAGGATCTGTTGAAAAGTATTGTGGGGAAAACGGTATATAGAGAAAAAAAATGTGTGGAGTTGCTTCTAGTTATAGTAAGTATAGGTGCTGACATATAATTAGAAGTCGGGGGACCTGTAATATGATATTTTAAAATATTGTAAAATGTTTAATCTGGGAAAAATTTCCTTGAGAATTAGCATAAACACAGTTTATCATAATGTTTTAAATCTTCATTAAATTTCAGAGAGAGGTCAAGTTTGTTTGATGGGACCTGACCTGGGACATCTTCAGTAGGCCATATAACTCAGTGCTGCTGTAGACTTCAAGGGGGCTCACAAGCAATAATCAAGGCAGCTGACTTAAGGCAGTTTCAGAACAAGCTCCCTTTCCAACTGTTGTTTCAGTTTCTCTGGGGTTGCAGAGACACGAGGTCCTTCCATAGCAAATCCTGCCCTGGTCTTTTACTGATTTCCCTGGAAGTCCTTCTCGGGGCTTACTCCACGTGGCAGAGCAGGCCTCCTCCTAAGATAAATTCCTCTATTTCTGGGGATATTTTTAATTGAAACTTGTTAAATTCACCCATCTCACAATTTTCCTGAAAGTGTGAGACTTAATATTTTATATAGTGGCATATAAGTAAAACTGTTTTTCAACCAGTCCTTTTTCAGTTTTACTCATCTGGGGTGGGCAGATGCTGGAGATTTAGTGGGAAGACTGGTGAGGTAGCACGTTTAATGTAGAAAATTATATGTGCATTTGTAATTAAATTATGCATTAAATTAACTGCATTTAATGTAGGAAAAATGGGAAAGCTTAGGGAAGTGAAAAATCCTCTCATTCCTTCAGAAAAAACAGCTATGGATATTTTCTTTTTCTACCCTTTTTTCCTGTATGTATTGCTTATGGCACCAGCACCAGCACTTAACAGTTAATCAGAATCATTTTCGGTTGTTCTATATTTGTGCTTTTAAGAGCAGTTCACACACACACATTTGAGTTAAAATTGGTATTTGTAAATCATATATGTGATAAGGAACTTGTATCAAGTATTAACTTTTGTAAGTGAACAATAAAAAGACAACCCAACTGAAAAAATTCAGAAAAAGATTGAATAGATACCCGTCCAAGGAAGCACATGAAAAGGTGCTTAACATTAGCCATCAAGGAAATGCAAATCAAAACGAGGTGCTTCTTCACACCTGCTAAATAAGACGGCTGTAATCACAGACAAAGGTGTGGGGAAAGGCAAATTCTCACCCATGGCTGGTGGGGATGTAAAATGGGGTGGGAGAGAGTTGGGCAGTCCCTCAAGTGTTCAAACTAGGGTTTCCAGCAAATCTATTCCTACGTAAGTAGCCAAGAGAAATGAAAACACATGTCTCCGTAGAAACTTTTATACAAGTATTTATAATAGCCAAAAAGGAGAAACAGCTGATGAAATGTATTGACAAATGAACTGTATGGCAGGATGTTACTGTTTGGCAATAAAAAGCAGTGAAGTGCTGGTACCTGCTGCAGCATGGACAACCTGTCAAAAGATGCTAAATGAAAGAAACCAGGACCATATATTGTTTGATTCCATTTACATGAAAGGCTCAGAAAAAACAAAGGCAGAGACAGGGAAGTGTATCACTGGCCGGACAGAGGAACAGGCTGGAGGAATGGGACTCCTGATGGGGTACCATGTTTCTTTGAGGAGTGATGACATTTTCTACAATTGACTGTGGTGATGGTTGCCCGACTCTGTGAATATTCTCAAACCACCGAATTGTATACTTCTAATGGGTGAATTGTAGGATACTTAAGTTCTTTCTTCATGCTTTAAATATGTATATGTTTATATTTACAAATACAGGCTGAGAAATAAGGCTACTTTTCAGGTTCCAATTTTTTTTAGTTGGGTTTCATTAGCAAGTAATAGGCTATGTGCCAGCAGCACTGACTTGGAAACCTGAGATTCTAGCTCTTTTATTAGCTAGTTATAGGGGTACCTGGGGTGGCTCAGTCGTTAAGTGTCTGCCTTCGGCTCAGGTCATGGTCCCAGGGTCCTGGGATCGAGCCCCGCATTGGGCTCCTTGCTCAGAGGGGAGCCTGCTTCTCCCTCTCCCACTCACCCTGCTTGTGCTCTTGCTCTGTCAAATAAATAAATAAAATCTTAAAAAAAAAAAGATTATTAGCTTGTTGTGTAACTAGAAGCAAGACAATCATTTATTAAATGAATAGAAGGCATACAATAATTTTTAAGTCCTTTTCCTGATTTTTATAGGATTTCAAAAGAGGGCAAAAATACTTGACTTTTTAAAAACTTGGTATTTAAAACCTAAAGTTTTAGGCCTTTCAGAGCTTCTGTTAAGGTTGAGAGGCTTATAAATTATTGCCAGCTCACTTTGCTTCTCGAATCACCATGGAAGCTTTTTAAAACATGCCTGTGCCTGGGCCCAGAGAGTCTGAATTTAATTAGTCTCAAGTAGGTTACAGCATTTCAGTGCTTACCCGCCTCCCCTTCTCTGTTGCCCACATGATTTTAATGTGCAGCCACGGTTGAGAGCCACTGACTTGGCTAATGAGCAGATTCTCTGTTGGTAGCACCAAAAGTCAGATCATTTTCTTCATGTTCTCTCTAGTGTTTGGTGATGTTATATTTGTCTCTTGGTGGGTTGGAGATGGGGATTATTTTTTATATTATCTATAAAGTGTTTTCTTTCCATTTCCACAGGTCATAGGTTTTGGATCTGTTAAGATTGCGGCATTCATAGCTATGGTAGGAATTCTTTCTATTGTGGCTCAGGTGAGTGTCATTTCATCCATTTTTTCTTTATCATTTTTATTTGGAGAGAACTAGATTTACGGGAAACTGCAAAGAAGTAAATGTTCATGGGGAACCCCTGCACCCCTCTGTCAGTACCCCTCTCCTCCCCTGCCATGGTAACATCTCTTATATCTGTGGTGTACAATATCAGACCCAGTAAACGGGCATGGATACAATCTATAGAACCATCTTTTTTTTTTTTTTTTTTTGTGAGAGAGGCAGCCAGGGGGTGGGGGTGGGGGGTGGGCAGAGGCACAGAGAATCTCTGACAGACTCCACAATGAGCTCAGAGCCCAACACAGGGCTCGATCTCATGACACCAAAAATGACTTGAGCCAAAATCAAGAGTTGGATGCTCAACCGACTGAGCCACCCAGGCACCCCAGAACCATCATTTTTAATAGAATGTTGAGATTGTAATTTAGGAGGAATTTAATACAGCTTTTCAGTACTTTTTAGGATACCTGTTACCTCTACTGGTCAGTTCAGCAAATAACAATTTGCTTTTACAATCACCAATAGTCTAACTCCATATACTGTAAAATAAGCTTAAAATAAAGAAGCACTCTCCTGGTTAATGAGGAAAGTTTAGTAGCAGTGGAAAACAGAAATGAAATCAGTAACTGTTCCAAACCCTGCTATCCCCAGGACTGAAGAGGTGTGGTAATGAGTGCATTAGAACATATGAAATGAGTAAACATTTCCCCACCCATTATAAATATAGGACCACAAAAGGCAGGGTATATGACCTTTAAATGAACTCACTGACATGCCTGGGTGTATTCACGGTATCACATGGAACTGCCTAGAGGCCACTCCCTGAAACGGCTTCATTCTGCTTTATAGCATGGGGCCCAGCAGAGTGCTCTTCAAGGAGAAACAAGAAGGCTATGAGACTGTTTTGCCCAAACGTTAGAACTGACAAGGCTCAAAGGACTCCATCAAGGCAAAAAAGCCTTTTATTTTTTCTTACCGAACTTTTTAGTGAATGTCAATTATGTTGAACTTTCAAGTTGCTCATGATTTTGGTTTGCATTTATAGCAACTCTGGTGAGTCCGTTAGCCAAAACTCTTTTATCCTCTGCCTTTATAGACTATCTGAGCTAGTCGTTTAGCAGACTATATATCTGTTAAAAGTCAAATTTATATTAGTCCAACTTTCTGACACCATGAACTTCCAGCAGAATCCCACATAGTCTGTAAACGTTCAGCAGGGGTTTGCTCTTCCCTGGTGGTGAAGTGATTGGCATTTCTCCAAAGCATCTGAGTCGTGTGCTTCTCAATCACGATTAATTGGTGAACAGCTATGATGACCTTTGGCAAGTGCTAGCAAAGCATTAGATAAACAGGCTTTGGGGAGGGCTCTGAAGGTTAGCCTCGGAACCTCCACAGCTCGACTCGAAAGCTCCGTAAGTACTGCGTGGCTTCCCCGCTCTCAGGCCAGACTGTGTACCTGTAGAGGCCCTTGGTCATTGTAAATGGGCTCCCCTCATTAAGCTGGCATCAAATCTGTGCACTCACATGGTTTCTCAAGACTATCTCCTTTGTTTTACAGACAGTCTTTCTTACCATCCTGATGAGATCATTAGGGAATAAGAATACTGTCCTCCTAGGGTTGGGCTTCCAGATGTTCCAGTTAGCCTGGTATGGTTTCGGATCTCAGGCCTGGTAAGCCTCTCCTTTGCATCCTCATAAACTAACAGACGGAAGCATCTTCTAGAACTTGAGTTGGCTGGATGTGATGTGAAGGAAGCAAGGGTTACTTTGCTGGTTTGGTGTCCTCAGTATTTCAGAAAGGATGTTTAGACTTAATGTGGGGAAGGACGGACGGTAAGTACTCTCAGATTTTTGTTAAATTGCCTTTGCCTCAGAGGTGAAGTTCTTATTTAACTGGATGTGTGTGCCTCCTCCAACGCCTCAAAAAAGTTTTACGTCTGCTTTTTAAACATATTTGTCAGTTTTTAGTGACCTCACATAGTCCACAAGAAGACAAAAAAATGGGTATGATGGGGTTCACTGCCATAATTAGCTGAGTGACTTTGGGTAGTGACATAACCTTTGTAACATTAAGCATCCGAGTTAGACGAACACAAATATCTCCCAAAACCATGTGTGCCCTAAGGCAGTTATTACTGCTAGCACATTAGATGCCCATAAACAGGAAGGAAATTCAAAATAAGCCCTGAGGAGTAAGAGGAAATGTATGTGCCTGCTTATTACCAAATACCAGATTTTCTATCTCCATTTTACATACGAGAATTGATCCTCACTTTACACATGCTTAGAGGAGCTAGAAATGTGGTCAGTGGTTCAATGGTTGATTCTTCTTGTTCTTGAAGATTCCAGTCCTGTGAACTTTGGTTCAGTAGCTGATTCGGTCAGACTTGTGCTACGTTTCAAAGATTTTGCTGACCTGCAAGGGTTTTTCTTTTGAGTTAAGGACGTGCACATTAGCCTCCCCAAGGAAAGTCTGGCCAAACAGGTTTTCAGCCTGATTAGGGCCTCACTTTGCTCACACTCATGCTTCATACTTTAGTTCCTTTCACAGTGACCCTGAACTTCAGGTCTCTGTTTCTGTTGGTGGCACATGACACTTGCTTGAGGGGTGGCAAACTGAGCAGCCCGAGGGCAGTGCGAAGGTGAGAAGCACAGAGAGAAAAGCGGAAAATCAGTGAGGAAGATGTGGTGTTTATAGAAACAAATCCTTTTGAACTTCATTGAGCTTATACATCTTAAAGATGGTAATGGGCAAACAAGGAGGAAGAACGGATTTCGAAGGAGGTAACATAAAATAATGAAATCTTCCCAGCTGTGAAGTAATCATTATTAACAGTATGATGTAGGACCTTCCAGGTTTAAAAAAAAAAAAAATCCATTTTTTAAAGAGGGAAAAATAAATACAACCTAACAGGAGAAAACAGAAAGCTTTTTGTGGTTCTGCCAGATTGTACTCTGAATGGTAAGCTCCTTAGGGCTGCCTTGCCGCCTGACTGCAGTCGCTCTTGTCATTGCAGGATGATGTGGGCAGCAGGGACGGTGGCCGCCATGTCCAGCATCACATTTCCAGCAGTCAGCGCCCTCGTCTCTCGGAACGCAGAGTCAGATCAGCAAGGTGAGGTCACTGTCCCCTTCCCGTTTTCTTCCTTTAGCTAAGATATACTCCAGGTCACGGAGCAGGTGATAGCCATGTGGTCCCTTCTCAGCAATTAGAGCTTTCTCTTTTCCCTCCTGCTTCTGGACTTTCAGAATACTAAGGATTAGAAATAGAACTATCCAAAATAAAAACAAAAAACAAAACTATCCATTTTCTCTCTTCAGTTTTGAGTCTTCTCGTGTGTGTTACCACCAGAGTCACTTTAACAGATGTAATGTCAAATAAGGAAAGACTGGTTAGTAAAGCAATGAGTTCTTTATTTAATCACCATAATTACTGAAATTTAATTTTGAATCAAAGTCCGTTAGCTTAAATTAGGAAATGATTTTTTGAGGGGATAAATAAGTAAATATGTGTACTTTGGAAACAATTAAAATGGAGACAACCATGTGGAGAATAGCACTCTACCATCTAGACTCATCGTGAACCTCTGGCTTCTGTCAGGCAGTTCCCACTGCCAGAATTAATCCTTTCCTTCTCCATCTGTTAATGGCTCACCTAAAGTAGTCAGGAAGTAGTGAATTTTAGAAGGAAAATCTTTTAAATTCATTAGAGCCTTTTTAAAAGTTCTAATAAAAAACTAGATTGGAAAAGATTAATTCATTGCACCTACTTTTCCACATCAGAAATTAGCCATCTTATTCATACCCATTTTTAAAGTGTCACAGATTCTGTGTGTCACCCTGTGGGAAATCCCTTGGCTGTGTGTCCTTGGGGAGGTGTTCCATCTGAAGAAGTGAGACAGCTGTGGGCACTGCCTTGACGTCTGACAGGCACCATCTGGGCTTTCATGACATGAATTCTCTTTGGCTGTTATGGTTGTATGTTCTAATACAGATGTTTCTAAATGTCAGTGTACAACATTACTGGAACACATTAAGTTGGATCATATTTGAACGATTTTGACTGTGGAAACATGCATTTTCATATGATTCAAGCTAATATTTTATCTGCCACATTAGAAGTTGGCACTTCTGGGATTTTTCAGTGCAGGTTACCATGAGGAGCTCACCATGAGGAGCAGTCTGTGTGAATGTGCCCCAAGTACACAACTTAGGGACTGCTATGGACTCACATAAAGGGCTCCAGGAGACAAAGGGCAGATTTTTCCTGTAAAAGGACCATTAGATGAGTAGAGGAGGAAAATCTCATTCCATAGAAAAGTGGAAATTGCCTATAAATGGAGAATAATTATTAGAGTTTTTTTCATTTTTTTATTCCCCATTTATAGGAAGGATCTAACTGTTACGTGGGGAATTCAGCCCCAAAAGAAATTTCACAAACATCACTGTCATTTCATCTCCTTATAGATCTTAGGGGAGAGAGTTAGGACAACATTAACAGGGCATAGTAAAACCCGTAATATATTTGTGCACCAAATGGAACTATGATGGGCGAAGTCCCTAATCTACTTCCCTTAGCACAGACTACTCATACTCAGTCCAGCTGAGCAGAGTATCACAGTTTGTAAGAAAATACTGTTAAGTCCCTAATCTTGAGATGCTTTTCTGAGAAGACGGGCTCCCTTCTCTCCATTCTCATGTAGGAGTCGCCCAGGGGATCATAACTGGAATAAGAGGGCTGTGTAATGGCCTGGGGCCAGCACTGTATGGCTTCATATTCTACATGTTCCATGTGGAACTGACTGAGTTGGAACCAGAACTGAATTCTGACAATGCCGCCCTGCAGGTAATTTGGTGATAAGTCTAGTTTTATAACCATATGTCTGATGTCTGATGATAGCAAAATCTGAACTTAAATTTGGAGAATGTTCTTGTTCATCTGATGTTTCTCTTGTATGTGCTCTGTTCACTGCTTCCTGGGATTGAGGAAGGGTCAGTTCAGTGATGTAGTATCTTCTGCAAAAAGCTCTGTCTTAATTTTGTTCAGAGTCCATTTTTACCTACACAAGTATCTGATCGGAATCCTGTCCTCTGGTGAAGCCCAGCGAAGGCCAAATAAAATGTGAAATGACCTAGATCCCTGCTAGGAATTGAGCTAGAGTGTTTTCTACTACATTTCTTCAGTCGTTCCTTTAGTGTAAATTTCTGTATAAAATTCTTGATGTTCATGAACAGAGTACATAATGTGAGGTCACGGGATGGGGACTGGAGACCCACAACTGCCACTTAAAGGCTGTTGAAAAGTGGTGCAAAGAACAATGATTAGTTGCCCTCTGTCACATTCCAAACACAGGCTCTATGGGAATTGGCCTTGATACTGAATGAAACATTTGCTTATGAGAAAATGATTTACTGTTGGATGGTTTGGGGGAGTCCAGGGCTAATTTTGAAGACTAACCGAATCCTTTATCTCCGTTTGTTTCCCATGCCCCTCAGGGAGCTGTCATCCCAGGCCCACCGTTTTTATTTGGGGCATGTATAGTTCTCATGTCTTTCCTGGTTGCCTTATTCATCCCTGAATACCATAAAGGCAGTGGACTTCAAAAACATAGCAACAGCATCAGCGGCAGCCTGACCAACACCCCAGAGCGGGCCAGTGATGAGGACATTGAGCCACTGTTGCAAGACAGCAGCATCTGGGAGCTCTCTTCCTTTGAGGAGTCTGGGAATCAGTGCACTGAGCTGTGAACTTGGCAGAAAGGGGGATTCTGCAGATGCCTTCTCTGAGAGCCGTGGGAGCCACACCACACGGAGACTCCATGGTGCTGGAAGGGAGATGCTGGTGGCACCCTTCAGGGCCGGGTTTGAGAAGTGACCCTCTCCATCCCTCCACTGCCCCCCCCACCCCGCTCCTGTTCCTTTCCTTCTTTTTGTGGTATATTAGAACAATATTCAAAGTAGTTTCCTGCAAATTTTGCAACTCTCTAAGTCATCTGGAGTCCAAACTTTGAAACTCAAATAGAAAGATTTCTTACCTCTGGTAGGATGGCTTTCCTTGAATAATTCTGGAGGAAGAGTGATAGCAGTTTTCCATCTCCTTTTCAGTGGAAGGTGCAGGGTGGGAGTGGACTGCCATCTCTGGCAAGATCCGAGGTAAAAAGTCCCTGCTTATTTTCTTCCTGTTTCTCTGATCTGTGCCCGCTTAGCCCAGGGGTGTTCATGAGCGGCCGCTCCAAGAGTGACTCAGTATCAGGGATCTATTGCCTTTGTTCAAAGGTCAACAGAAACCCAAATCTTACTCTCCTTTCCTTGTCTCTACTTCCTGTCCTTGGCTAGAATGAAATTCAGCACATACACCTCTGGACATTAATAATGATCAGTGATAACCTATATTAGATAAAAGGAAAATTTTCTTAAAAATTTAAATTATGAAGAACTAGCAACTCAGATCGCTGGCCCTGGTGTTTTGGTCAGATCCCAGGTAATTTTACAGAAGAAAAACGCACATCAAGTGTTCTGGTGGCAACAGAGAATTTGAAGGGAGCTTCTAAGAAAGTTTTCAATAATACAAATATTCCTAAGTGAGGATGAGAATTAATTAGTGACCGGATACCAGTGGAGTTTATATCCAAGTTCAGACTCCTAGAACACATTATTACCATCTGCTCCTTGCTGCATCTTCTGTCTTCTCGATTTTTCTCGTTCATCTCACTCCTGCCTTAACTGCTCTATTGTATGCATCGGTTTTCAGTCGGGTCTTTATTTCCATCTGTTTATCTGACTTTTGAATTTCATGGGAATATGCACATCAGATTCTTTTCTAAAATGTGGTTTAGGAAGCTCAGTTTCACAATAAGTGTCTTGCTAATTTTTCGAGATGTTCTATGGACAGAAAATTTTACAGATTTATATGTATTTTCCTGCACCAGTAAATCGACCATTAACTAGGCCCCACCCACCTTGAACAGAGCACTCCTCTGAAAGTTTTATAGGTATGAAATATATGTAGATATTTGTAAGGAGTTTTAAATTTTTTTTGATGGGGTGCTGTGTAAATCTTGTATTTATAAATGTAATGAAGGTGTTGAAAGAAAAATATATATACAACTTTTATAAAAGGATTGTGTACTGACTGAACACATTTAAAAGAAAATATATTTTGAAACCTGTTCTGCTGTGAACAGAGATAACATATCTTTTTACTATGCTGTTGGTTTTTAAGTTAAGCTTCCTAATGCATAATAAATTTGCAATGGATACCTTTATGTCTTGTGTTTCTTTAAAGCAAATAGTACCATTGATCTTTGGGTTCTCTTTTGGGTGGGTATCAACTAAATTCTTAATCCTTAATTAAGCTAATGCAAAAAAGAGGTATATTTTCAAAAAAAATTTGATTTTTAACAGACTCCCTTCAAAAACCTATCATAGCTTTTTCATCTAAAATAAAAAAACAGAGACACAAACATATTTGTACACCCATTTACTGGCATTCTTCATAATAGCCAAAAGGTGGAAGCAACCCGAGTGTTTGCTGTTGACTGAATGGATAAAGGAAATATGGCATTTACATACAAGGAAATCCTCAACCTAGGGAAGGAAGGAAATTCTAACTCACACCACAACATGGATGAACTTTCAAGACATGATAAGTGAAGTAAGCCAGTCACAAAAGGACATACACAGTGTGGTTCCACTTTAGTCAAATTCAGACAGAAAGTAGAATAGCGGATGCCAGAACTAGGAAAGGGTAAGGGGGAATTACTGTTTAATGGGTAGAGTTTCAGCTTTGCAAATGGACATGGTGAGGATGATTGCATAAAAGTGTGAATGTACTCAGTGCCACTGAACTAAAAATGGTCAACTGTAGGTTATGTGTATATTTTGCCACAATTTTTAAAAAATGCTCTCGTGACATCTTTACTATTGCTTACCAAAATTGCAGTTTCTTTACCCAGTATAACGAATGTCAAAACTGGGATAAAATCTACCATTTTAACCATTTACAATTTAGTGGTTTTTAATTTATTCACAAGGTTGCACAGCTGTTAGGACTATCTCCAAAACATTTCCATCATAGGCTGAGGGAACAATGTCCACCATTGAATTATTAAACCAGACTCTTATGGAAGGGCTGCCACCTGACCAGTGATAGAATTTCTAGGCTAGGAAGTGAGTTCTGTGGGGTGATGGCTGGGGCTGACAGTGTACCTGGTTCTGCCTGTGCTGGAAAAACTGCAAACTGGGTTTGGCTGCTACTCTCGGGAAGAACCGCCACTGCCAGCATGAAGAAGCGTCACCAGAATGAAGCTGTGGGAAATGAGAAGGCAGGAAGGAGTCCGTTAGTCCCTCCTCTTCTTCAGTATGCAGTTTCTATCCAGCACCCTTCATCAGCCGACGGAGCCAGCTGACAAAGCAGAACAGGTGTGTGCCGAGGAAAGGACAGGCTGGGACTAAGACAGCGACTGGCACCCTCAACACACCTTATGTGAACTTCTGATCCTCACTGGCACCTCTCCTGTGACCCAGATCTGCATTTGCTAAAGGATGTGGATCTTCCACAGCTTGTTAACGTCTTCCCCTAACTTTTCTACTGAGCATTAAAGTACAGTTGAACAACGTTGGGGGTAAGGGTGCCAAGTCCCTATGCGGTCAAAAATCCACATGTAACTTGACTCACCAAAAACTGAATTACTGATAGCCTATACTCTTAAATGGAAGCCTTACAGTAACAACACATATTTTGTATGTTGCATGTATTACATACTGCATTCTTATAATAAAGTAAGCTAGAAAAAAGAAAATGTTAAGAAATCTTAAAATAGGGGCACCTGGGTGGCTTAGTTGTTAACTGTCTGCCTTCGGCTCAGGTCATGATCCCAGGGTCCTGGGACTGAGCCCCACATCAGGCTCACTGCTCGGCGGGAAGCCTGCTTCTCCCTCTCCCACTCCCCCTGCTGTGTTCCCTCTCTCGATGTCTCTCTCCTGTCAAATAAAATCTTTTAAAAAAATAATAAAATACTAGTTATGAGGGAAAATAACTTTTTCATTAGAAATTTACAGTCAAGGGGCGCCTGGGTGGCTCAGTCGTTAAGCGTCTGCCTTCGATTCAGGCTCTGGGATCAAGCCCCACGGCTTCTCCCTCTCCCATTACCCCTGCTTGTGTTCCCTCTCTCCCTGTGTCTCTGTCTATAAATAAAATTTAAAAAAAAATTTTAAAATACATCTACAGTATCATTTCTTAAAAAGTCCATGTAGAGGGGACCTCTGCAGTTCAAATCCTTGTTCAAGGGCCAGCTGTACTAGAGACAGAAAAGATGGCAGAGGAGTAGGGGACCCTATTCCAACTGGTCCCTGGAATTGAGCTGGACAGCTACCAGACCACTCTGAGCACCCAAGAAATCGTCCTGAGATGTAAGAAAATAGATCCAGATCTCTACAAACGGAATATCGCAGGCAGTAGGTTTTGAGGTACCAAGCAAGCAGGGAGCCGTGATTCTGTGGGCAGATTTTGGAGGATAAATGGCAGCGGGAGGGAGCCTGGCCATGGGGATCCTACACCGCCAGTGAGCGACAGCCTCACACGCTGGGGACCGGGCACAGGCTCACAGACCTGTAGCGGCGGGGAAAGGACTTTAGGGCAGCCCCCCTGACGGAAACCAGGAGCGGTGGGGTCACACGTGCAAACTGGGTGCGGCTGCGGTTTTAGAAGCACAAAGGGCAGAGACATGCCCCGACCTGGAGGCAGGACTCAGAGCGCTGCGGAGGGGTGTACAACCCAGGACCCTGTAGTTTATAGCAGCACAGAAAGAAATGGAGAGACTGTGGCTGGAGAGCTCACTGAAGAACAGAATGTGATCTCTCTGCTCTGAGGCAGAGGGTTGGAAACGGTATCTTCTGCTCTGACTCACGGAAGAGACACGGAAAGCAACCAGGGAACAAAAGCCCCCAAAAACCGGTTTCCACTGAGCCCATCCCCCACCACAGGGTAACAGACACATGAAAAAATGTCCATCAACATTAGCCATCAGGGAAATTCAAATCCAAACCACACTGAGATACCACCTTACACCAGTTAGAATGGCAAAAATGGACAAGGCAAGAAACAACAAATCTAGAGAGGTTGTGGAGAAAGGGGAACCCTCTCACACTGTTGGTGGGAATGCAAGTTGGTACAGCCACTTTGGAAAACAGTGTGGAGGTGCCTCAGAAAATTAAAAATAGAGCTACCCTATGACCCCGCAATTGCACTACTGGTATTTACCCCAAAGACACAGATGTAGTGAAAAGAAGGGCCATATGCACCCCAATGTTCATAGCAGGAATGTCCGCAATAGCCAAACTGTGGAAAGAGCTGAGATGCCCTTCAACAGATGAATGGATGAAGAAGATGTGGTCCATATATACAACGGAATATTACTCAGCCATCAGAAAGGATGAATACCTAAGGTTTGCATCAACATGCATGGGACTGGAGATTATGCTAAGTGAAATATGTCAAGCAGAGGAAGTCAACTATCATTTGGTTTCACATATGATAAACCAATTATATGGTTTCACATAAGAAACAGCATAGAGGACATTAGGAGAAGGAAGGGAAAAATGAAGGGAGGGAAATTGGAGGGAGAGACGAACCATGAGAGACTATGGACTCTGAGAAACAAACTGAGGGTTCTAGAGGGGAGGGGGGTGGGGGGATGGGTTAGCCCGGTGATGGGTATTAAGGAGGGCACGTACTGCATGGAGCACTGGGTGTTATATGAAAACAATGAATCGTGGATCACCACATCAAAAACTGATGATGTATGATGACTAACATAACATAAAATAAAATTTTTTAAAAAATGCTCACTCTTGCCACTTTTATTCAACATATTATTGAAAGTCTTATGCATGGGCGCCTGGGTGGCTCAGATGGTTAAGCGTCTGCCTTTGGCTCAGGTCATGATCCCAGGGTCCTGGGATCGAGTCCCACATGGGGCTCCCTGCTCCTTGGGAGCCCGCTTCTCCCTCTGCTTCTCTCTCTCCGCCCCCCACCCCTGGCCGCCGCTCATGAATAAGTAAAATCTTTAAAAAAAAAAAAAGTCTTAAGCAAGAAAAAGAAATAACAGGCCTCCAAATTGGAAAAGAAGAAGTAAAACTGTCACCATTTGCAGATGACATAATATTACATACAGAAAACCCTAAAGACTCTAAACAAAGAGTCCAGTAAAGTTGCAGGATATAAAATCAATATACCAAAATTAAAAAACCCTGTTAGTTCTATACAGTGTTAATGAACCATCAGAAAAATTAAGAAAACAATTCCATTTACAACTGCACCAAAATGAATACAATACCTAGAAATAAATTTAAGAAGGTGAAAGACCAGGGAGCCTGGATGGCTCAGTTGAGCATCTGACTCTTGGTTTCAGCTCAGGTCATGATCTCACAGTTGTGAGATCAAGCCCACCCCCCCCAAATAAATAAATCTTTAAAAAAAAAAGAAGGGTAAAAGAACTGTAGACTTGAAACTGTAAGACACTGATGAAATAAACTGAAGACACAAATAAATGGAAAGATATTCAATGTTCATGGGCTGGAAGAATATTGTTAAATATGCACACTATCCACAGCAATCTTCAAATTCAACGGAATCCCCATAAAATTCCAATTGTATTTTTCACAGAAATAAGCAATCCCACAATGTGTATAGAACCACAAAAGATCCCAAATATACAAAGGAACCTTCAGAAAAACCAACAAATCTGGAATATCACACTCCCTGACTTTCAAACAATACTGTAAAAGTACAGTAATCAAATAGTATGATATTGACATAAAAACAGGCACATATAGGTCAGTGGAACACAACAGAGCCCAGAAATTAACCCTCTCATAAAGAGCCAATTAACTTATGATCAAGGAGCCAGAAATATACAATTGGGGGCGAAATACAGACTGTTTTGTTTTTTTTTTTTCAAGATTTTATTTATTTATTTGACACAAAGAGAGAGAGTACAAGCAGGGGGAGTGGCAGGCACAGGGAGAGGGAAAAGCAGACTCGCTGCTGAGGCTGCGTAGGGAACCCAATATGGGGCTCGATCCTGGGATCATGACCTAAGCCAAAGGCAGACGCTTAACCAACTGAGCCACCCAGGCATCCCCGGAAAATACAGACTGTTAAATCAGTGTTTTTGGAAAAGAGGGCAGCAACATGCAGAAGAACAAAACTGCACAACTATATTACACCATTCACAAAAATTAACTCAAAATAGACTAGACTTGA